TGCATATAATGCTATAAGTTCGGGGTGCCACACTGTCGAAAGTGTTTGGACTTCTTGTGCCGTATTACGGGGTAAACGAGAGCCCCTGGCGTACTGACCGCACCCGAGCGTGCAGGTGCGGAATGTCGTAAATGGACATAAGATAAAGAGAAAAACTTAAATAATGCAATGACAGATTAATAATATGCATTGTTATTTGAATAATACGTCGAAACATACTGGTACAAGTAGTGCAATAAGCCTAAAGTAGGACAATTCGAAATGTCCTATCCCAAGGCAAGCTACGCATAAATAGTGAAAAGCGGGTATATCAAGTATTATTAGAGACCACCTGGCGGTTCCCGTGTTCATCTTAGCTTCTTGCCGCCTTGGTTGTTGCTTTCGGAATGTGTCCGTCAATCGGACTGCCGGAAAGGGCTTCCGAAGAGTTAGGCTCTGAAAGAGAAAAGGAATGTCAAAGGTATATAGCCCCTGGCGTGGTTAAGCCACAATGCGGGGCGTGTCCTGATTGTGCCCCGCCTATGTCCATGGTATTTTCAATGCGTAGTTATGTACGCGCGGCACGAATTTCGTTGCTGCACTGGGACTGGGACAGGGGCCGGATTTCTAGGCGGGCGTTGATCGTGCTAGGCGGTCCTGTTGCAGATTGTTCCGGACTCGCTTGAAGGTGTCCGGGGGCTGTAACGCCGAATGAGTGGTCTGCCTGAACAGGCTGCTTTGTGCCTCTGCTGCAAGGGCCGCAGTGTGCTCTTCTGTACAGAGCGAGCATTCTGTGTTTCCATTTACTCTTATGACCCCGTGGGGTCGTGGCATCTTAAGCTTGAGGTATGCGTAATGCGGCACTGCGTTTAATTTTGCAAATGTTATCCGTCCGAGCCGTGCATGATAGCCACTGCGAAATGGGACGATGTCAAAGATTAACTCTTCGCTTCGGAAGTTATCTGGTGATCCGAAGACTAATTCCAGTGTGATTGAGCCTGTGCAATGGGCCTCTACGCCTGGGATGACGCCTTTAAAGGTGGTTTTGCTGGGTTTGATCCTTGAGGGATTGATACCCTTTTTTCGTACGGTATCCTGATAAAGCAGGTTCAGGCTGCTGCCGCCGTCCATAAGGACTCGAGTGAGGTGAAATCCATCAATGATGGGGTCTAGGACCAGTGCAGCGGATCAGCCATGACGGATGCTAGTGGGGTGGTCCCCGCGATCGAAGGTGATCGGACAAGCGGACCATGGGTTAAACTTCGGGGTGACGGGCTCCATCGAGTAGACGTCCCTTAGTGCACGCTTCCGCTCCCTCTTGGGAATGTGGGTTGCGTATATCATGTTCACTGTCTTCACTTGTGGGGGAAACCCCTTCTGTCCTCCTGGGTTCGGCGGCCGGGGCTCCTCCTCGTCATCGCTATGCAGCCCCTTGTCCTTGTTTTCGGCATTTAACTTGCCAGCCTGCTTGAACACCCAGCATTCTCTATTGGTGTGATTGGCTAGCTTGTCAGGGGTGTCGTGGATTTGACACGAGCGATTCAGTATGTGATCCAGACTGGACGGAGCCGGAGCATTTCTTTTAAATGGCTTTTCCCGCTGACCGGATTTAGAGCCTCTGAATCTGGTATGGACTGCCATATCTTCGGTGTTATCGCTGTTATTGCGGCGCTTTGGTCTATTACGACGCTGCCTACCGTTAACGTCTTTGGTATCCGAGGTATCCGGGTTCCTTGATGTATTGTTGCTGTGAGCCAGCCAGCTGTCCTCGCCCGCGCAAAAGCGGGTCATGAGTGTTGTGAGGGCTGCTATAGATTTCGGCTTCTCCTGGCCGAGGTGGCGGGCGAGCCACTCGTCGCGGATGTTGTGCTTGAATGCCGCTAGGGCTTCTGCATCCGGACAGTCTACAATTTGAGTTTTCTTTGTCAGGAACCGTGTCCAGAATTGTCTGGCCGATTCCCCTGGCTACTGGGTTATGTGGCTCAGGTCATCAGCATCCGGTGGCCGCACATAAGTGTCCTGGAAGTTGTCAAGAAATGCATCTTCCAAATCCTCCCAACTGCCAGCTGAATCTGCTGGCAAGCTATTCAGCCAATGCCGGGCTGGTCCTTTGAGTTTTAGTGGGAGGTACTTGATGGCATGTAGATCGTCACCGCGAGCCATGTGGATGTGAAGGAGGAAATCCTCAATCCATACAGCGGGACCTGTTGTGCCGTCGTATGATTCGATATTTACGGGCTTGAAACCCTCCAGGAATTCATGATTCATAACTTCATCAATGAAGCATAGGGGGGTGTGTGGCGCCTCTGTGCCGGGATATATCCCGACGTAGTTCGTATGAGTCTTGTCTGTTGTATTCGGCCCGGCCGGATTTACTCTTGGTGTATCCGACGCGATGATCATCGTCCCGTGTGGGCGCATGTGCTCGTGTCCCGTATATTGACCTTGCGATTTTTGCCTTACTGTCCAAGATGTCTCGCAGGTCCTCTGTGTTGCTCCGGGCCTTAGTATTTTTGACTAAGTGGCGACGGGGTGCGGTCTAAACTTTAGGCTGAAAATATGTCCCTCTCCACTTTGACAAGACATTTAGCATTTCCTCCCATGCACACGACACTAGTGATTACACCTGTACATTAACTCATTCGTCATGTCTTTCCCTTGAAATCAGAAGGAAACATACCGCAACTAGACCCATTTGCCAGTAATAGCAACTCACAAGAGCATAAGTTAATACGACCATAAATATTTGATACACATTTCCTTCTATCTACGTTGGCATGCCATTCTGTCTGTTTCCTCCCGATCAGACGACACAAGGGTTTACAGCGATACAGGTACATTACCTCGTCCATCACATCCTTCCTGCGAAATCACAAGCACACATGTGGCAACCGAACACGTTATCCAACAACTCATCAAAATATATGTATATTAACGCAGCCATCAATACGTGACATATATTTCGCCGACAATCTTGTGGCGTTTACACCGACACGAATACATTACCTCGTCCATCATTTCATTCCCTCCGAAATCAGAAGGAAACCGGCCGCAACCAGACCCATCACAACGATCGGCCATCAATCCTCCGCATCTATTCCCTCCCGCATGTTGGCACAACCTTCTCCGTGCCTCCACATTTCCTCCTAACAACCATCACGAGTGTTTGCACCCGTACATTGCCTCGTTTAACGTGCTGCTCGCTCAAAAACACAATTTAAAAACACTTATTATATTTCATAAAAATAATAATATTTTTTTGGAACAAGCTGACCACACCTTGACATGCCTGGCATTTCGTTTCACACTAGAAAGAGATAAAGAAATGTGCTGCTGTCTGATGCGCTCACACCCACCTACCTAACCCAAATCCGAACCCAAACCAAGACAGACGGACGAGACAACCTTGCTTTGCTCTGCACTGCTCCTACAAATTTCGGAAGTTCGAGAAACTTTTGAAAATCACACGTGTCCAAACTTCATAAAATTTTGCATGTAGTTCACACACAGGAGCATCTTGCACCACAAAAAAATTGGAATTTTTTAAACTTTTTCCTTTGCTAAATCGCGGTACTGTTCACCGGGCTCATATGAGCCCGGGCTCTGGGTTGAGTTATCGGACCATTAGTACTTGACATCCATTTTTCGCTATGTGCTTGCACTACATTCCGTGCGTCTTACTATTGTCTGCCTATCACACTACACAACTGTTTACATGGCCACGTTGCCTTACCCATCATGTCATCCCTACAAATTAGAAGGAAACTGATTGCCATTAGACTCATTTGTCAATAACAACTCACAGTGAGGTGTAATTTAATACAACCATCAAAACTTGACATATATATATGCTCCTCTCCGAGTTGAAAGGACATTAATTTTGGCTGTCTTGATATTTCTTGTACACACAACACTAACGCAACCATCATATCCTTCCTTTTGAAATCGTAAAAAAGTGGGCTGTAGCCAGACCCATTTGTAACAACTAATCACAAGTTAATACCGCCATCAATATGTTCCTCTCCACTTTGACAAGACATTCAACATTTCCACGCAAGTGATTACACTCGTACATTAATTCATTCATCATGCCCTTCCCTTTGAAATCAGAAGGAAACACACAACAACTAGACCCATTTGCCAGTAATAGCAACTCACAAGAGCATAAGTTAATACGACCATCAATATTTGATATACATTTCCTTTTGTCTATGTTGGCATGCCATTGTGCCTGTCTCAATATTTCCTCCCGATCAAACGACACGAGGGTTTACATCGATACAGGTACATTACCCTGTCCATCATATTCTTCCTTGTGAAATCACAAGCAAATGCGTGGCAACCAAACATCGTTATCCCACAACTCATCAAAATACGTATATTAACGCAGCCATCAATATGTGACATACATTTTGGGGACAATCTTGTGGCGTTTACATCGACACCTATACATTACCTTGTCCATCATTTCATTCACTCCTAAATCAGAAGGAAACCGACCGCAACCAGACCCAAACACAACTCGCGGGTTAAAACGGCCATCAATCCTCGGCATCTATCCCCTCCTCTGCGCGCGCTGGCGCTGGCACGACATTCTTCGTGCCTCCATATTTCCTCCTATCAACCGCCACGAGTGTTTCCACCCATACATTGCCTCGTTCATCGTGCTGCTCGCTCGCTAGAAAAAAAACATAATTTAAAAACACTTATTATATTTCATGAAAAAGAATAATATTTTCTTGGAGCAAGGTGACGACACCTTGACATGCTTGGCCTTTCGTTTCACACTAGAAAGGGAGGAGATAAAGAAACGTGGTGCTGTCCGATGCGCTCACACCCACCCACCTAACCCAAACCCAAACCCGAACCCTGAGGCTGAGCCAAGAGAGACGGACAGACAACCTCCCCTGCTTTGCTCTGCTCTGCTCCTACAAAGACCCCAGAGAGCCGACGACCACGACCTCCCCCTCCCCCCTCCACCCAATAGCGAGAGCTTACCTTCTCCCCCCATCTCTCCCCCGATGCCCAATCGCCGGCGGAAGCGCGAGCCCGACGACGGAGGGGGCGCCGCGGCCGCTTCCGGTGCTGCTGGTGAGAGCAAGAGGGATCTTGATTTGCGCATCACCAACATCCTGGCCGAGTACCGCGCGCCCCGCCCCGCCCGCCGCGCGTTCCCCCTCCTCGAGCTCAACGGCCGGCTTCTTGCGGAGGAGGACGAGGAGGGGGAGGCCGAGGTCGTCTCCCCGCTCACCGCCCCGGCCCCGGCCCTGCCGGTCGTGGTCGTCGACGGGCGGCCGTCCAAGCGCCGGGTCGTCGCTGGCGGAGGAGGAGGAGGAGGAGGGGACGAGGCCTCGCCGTACCAGCGCCGGCTGTGGGTCAAGGACCGGTCCAGCGAGTGGTGGGAGCTGCGGAGCAGCCCGGGGTACCCGGAGGCGGAGTTCTTGCGGGAGTTCCGGATGGGCCGCGCCACGTTCGGCATGGTCTGCGACGCGCTCGGCGCCGCCGTCGCCAAGGAGGACACGGCGCTCCGCGCCGCCATCCCGGTGCGGCAGCGCGTGGCCGTCTGCGTCTGGCGGCTCGCCACGGGCGAGCCGCTCCGGCTCGTCTCCAAGCGGTTCGGCATCGGCATCTCCACCTGCCACAAGCTGGTCCTGGAGGTGTGCGCCGCCATCCGCTCCATCCTCATGCCGCGCTTCCTCCGGTGGCCCGACCGCGGCTCCGCCGCGGCCGCCGCCGTCAAGGCCAGCTTCGAGGCCAGCTCCGGGGTGCCGGACGTGGTGGGCGCCATGTACACCACCCACATCCCCATCATCGCGCCCAAGGTGCACGTCGCCTCCTACTTCAACCGCCGGCACACGGAGCGCAACCAGAAGACGTCCTACTCCATCACGCTGCAGGGGGTGGTCGGCCCGGACGGCTCCTTCACCGACGTCTGCATCGGCTGGCCGGGGTCCCTGGCCGACGACCAGGTGCTCGACAAGTCGGCGCTGCAGCAGCGCGCCGCGGCCGGGATGATGGAGGGGTCCTGGGTGGTCGGCGGCGCCAGCTACCCGCTCACCGACTGGTGCCTCGTCCCCTACACCCACCAGAACCTCACCTGGACGCAGCACGCCTTCAACGAGAAGGTGGCCGACCTCCGGGGGGTGGCCGTGGACGCCTTCTCGCGCCTCAAGAGCCGGTGGGCGTGCCTGCAGAAGCGCACCGAGGTGAAGCTCCAGGACCTGCCCGTGGTGCTCGGCGCCTGCTGCGTGCTGCACAACATCTGCGAGGCCAGAGGGGAGGCCATGCCGCCGGAGCTCCGGGTGGAGGTGGAGGACGACCTCACCGTGCTGGACAACCCCGTGCGCTCCGACGCCGCCGCCAAGGCCAGGGACAAGATCGCGCACAACCTCCTCCACCGCGGCCTCGCCGGCACAGCCTTCTTCTAATTAGATGCTCCTCTCTTCCATCGGTGGCCTTGGTTTGCCCATCGTTCCTTAAACGATCTTGAGCTTAAAATTCGATCCAAGCTCTGTCAAAGAATCAAATTTCCAGTTGCTCAGTAGTAGGAGGGCCCTAGTTAACTCGTATCCGAGGAAAAGAAGAAAGAAACTTTTACAGCGTCTCAAAGAAACATACTAGCAGAGGAAAGAAGATTCAATTGTTTGGTTCATTCTTCAGTTCATCTACTGTATTTGTTTGTATATAAATTTTTGGACTTGGTTTTGGGGCAGACAATCAAACAAATGTCTCTGCTTTGCTATGCAAAAATCTTAATCTTTGGATGCTCTTGTTTGGCCTCAAGTTTCCCCCTCTCCTGTTAGCTTCAACTGCAATTTGTCTGTGGCTTTGTTTAGTCTTGTGTGTGAATGTGGCATAGTTTGGTCAGCCAAATAACTAGGCTGATTCGGATTTAGCAGAGGTCCAGGTCCAGGTTCAGGTTCAGGACTGGGTGTGAACACCTCAGAGGAATACCAACACTGCAAGAAAGAGCCCACAAGTGTCAAAAGGTCCCTTTCTTTGGAGGACGAGCTAGCTACTGAGCCCTATGCTTTGAATAGTGTCAAAAATTATCTACTACCGTACTACGCGTGTTTAGATACATCTGTATCCAGACAAATTTAATTTGAGACGGAGGTTGTATTTTCAAGTTCTAAAAAATTCAACATGGTTCTATGGATGTGATTAGTCTATTTTGATCTGGTATTACGCACATACTTATCTAAATTCCTTGTAGCTGTAGTCTGCCATAGACTGTTTCCTCAGTAAATCTTCATTTGGGGCATATAAATTTGCAAGTGTACATAGTCCGTAGCTTTCTATGGCAACAAGAAATACTCTGATGGTTTCAGTTAACTAGTGTTCTGAACTTGCGTGTAGTTTGGCCGATGGAAGCTTTGAAATAAGGTTTCCATTTCCATGCCTGGGACAAGATGGCGCACAACCTCCTCCGCCGTCGCTCTTCGACCGCCAATCTTTACCTGAATCTGGTTTGTTTCATTCGATTTGATGCAAACTCCATTGAAGAATCACATTTTCAGTTGCTCACAGTCAAAGAACAACAAATACCTGAACCTGGGACAAGATGTTTCTCATGTCAAAGAAACTTAGCAAGACAACAAGGCTTGCTTGTCTGTGGCTTTGTTTAGAGTGTTGTGTGTGAATGTGCCATGATTTGGTCAGTCAAATACTAGCTAGGCTGAGTTGGATTTAGCAGATTCAGGTTCAGGACCAGGTGTGAACAAATCCGAGGAATACTGACACTGCAAGAAAGAGCACACTTGATTGCTCATAGTCATAGAAGAGACAAAGAGAGTCAAGTCTGAGTTTTGGGAGGTTGTTAACTAATAAATGATGAAACACAAGAAAAACGATTTATATCATACAAAACACATGAGAAAAGAAGGACTTGCTTTTTTATTCAATTCTTTGTTTTAAGTGAATTAATCTAGGTATGTCATCGATCTTACCTCGCTCCTCCATTGATGATAATGCCCTCC